CCGTGCCATATCTCTCAGCGTCTCTAACCAACGACAATCCTCATCCCTTGTGCCCCAACCTGGAGGGTTGCCTGCTCCAACTGAAGCCAAAACTGAAGTCAGCTTCCTCATACCTCTACAACATGCCATAGTCTGATTACCGTATGGTTTCTTCCAGCCTTGCCCGGCACGTGCGAAGAGAGCACGAAAAGGTAGTCGATGGACAGGCATACGCATTAAACTAATGACGCGTAAAAGGAGACCTCAAATAGTACACCCGTCCCTCAAAATAAAAAGGGAACCGAAACAATAATATCAAAATACCGGTTCAATGTTTCCGATTAATGCAAGATTTTCTCAGTTCTATATATGAAATACCAACCCTGTATAAACGTGCCATTTGGGCAAATTCATGAAAGTTCCACACCGAAAAGAGCATGTGAATTTGCTTAGTGAAACAACGCATCTATCATTGATTTCATTGTTTCGGTTGATATTTTTGCTCTTGGCCAAGCAATAGCCAACTGTTTTCACATTCAGATCAAGAATAGTTTCAAAAATATGGCGCATAAAATGACATTACCCCCAAGCTGTTTGTACGCAATTACTCGGTGCTATCGTGCTGGGAAATCATGGTTTCTAATCAGTTTTCTGGAATCGCTCGAAGGAGAGTAACTCATTCAAGGATTTGACGTAAGATTCAGCCACTTGATTCACTTCGATAGTCATCAATTGAAACTGTCCGTCTGCTCAATCGGCATCTCACAACTTTACGGAACACCTGGTGGTAGACTGGACGACTGAACGATAACCGGTTCATACGCAGGTCATACCAACAGAACGCGTTCATCAAGATCGTCAAGGTTAAACATTTTCTGGTTGCTGAATACCTCTGACTGTTCCATTCACAAGTCCATTTGATGTTACTTTTCACCCACACAACTTGATTATAAATATGACGTCCTCTTATCTATGGTACTGATTTCATCTCCCTGAATTTTAAGTTTGATGCACCATTTGCTTTCAGCACCGCACTTCTACCAAATGCAATTAAGGAGTTAAAAAAAGTTGATATCCCACGGCAGACGCTTCGTGGTAAGCGGAGGAGCCTTTTTGTTTTTTCCTACTAATGGAGAATTAATGTGACACGTCAGCCAGCATTGTCAACTGTTCTCCCATTGGTTGAGAGTGATGATGAGATCGACCAAGCGCAAGCATTCTCGGTCATGTTTTATTCACTGCGTCCCACATCGCCGAAGAATAATGGAGGACTCTGTCTGTCTCCAACCGTAGACCCACTGTCAGCGTTACAACCCACCCCCGCCCCACCTGCGTTCCTTAGTACGGTATGAACATCATAGATGTTGATTGGTCATTTTTGTCACCCGTTGTAGTGATGCTATGTTTGCTACTAGTGAGAGTAGGCTAGATGATTTCATCGAGCAGCTAAATCTTTACCGCCTAAAATTAAAGGAATTTAGACGAGAATACATCTATAGATTCCTTAGGAAGCAGTGGAATGGTGCCAATGAATCCCCCTTATCTTAGAGAGAACGAGTTTGTGTATCATCTTTGAAGTTCTCTGTAATAGGGTAACACCATATTGAATCTCGCCAATGAGGGTCTAAACGCAAGGAATGGCGGGGCTCGGCGTGGGGGGGGGGGGGGAGATGTGATGAAAGTGTGGGTGTCGAACAAGCTCCATCAGTAGCTGTATTTCTTTTCACTAGAGAAAACCCCCTTTGTTTACGGTTGTTGAGCCTCATTCTCACTTGGTACGAACAATGCGAATGGCAAGAAGAGACCCGCTTCTTACTCTGTTTGTTAATGAGCACTTCCGTGATGAAGAAACGGACAGACTCACTGATCGTGGCTGTGTGCACGATCCCTACGCTTATCGTGTACAGACTTCGACACGTTCCCAGTTATCGACCCTGTTCACTGTTCGCATTGCGCTTGATCAGTATCAAAGAGTTTCGTGCACTCCCTACGAACTTATAGGAACTTAAGCTGCTTACTGGTAATAAACCTTGTTGGTGGTACAGAGAGATTTTGCTATTCGGAAAACTTCCAATCATGCACTTGAGTGCACACACTCTCGGCTCCTGGATATTCATGTGAGCGAGTTATAAAACAGATTTCTCTAACTATATTCAAGAAAAATGAATGCTGACAGCCCATTCTACTTGAAAACGTTTATCACCGGAGCCGCAAGCGAACAGACACATTTTCAAGTTGGTCGAAGGAAGAAGAGCCCAGAAGTTGGTTTAAAGTGAATAATGAAGCAGTTTCACTTAATGATCGATTGTTAATGGCTACTGACGTTGGAGAAAGAAACATGGAGCGGATTTTCATCTATGCAACGATGTCTATGCCGTTGAACGCATTAACTCTCCACAGGAAGGAGAATGATGTGAGTGAACCTCGCCCAACACGCAAACAGTGTCACAGACCTGATGCGTGCCCAAGCGCATTGTCGAAGAAGAGTAACCGAGTTATATTGGAGATGCTTTCTTTGTACTACATCCTCAAGATTCTTCATCAATTCGCTCACGAAATAGACACATCTGCATGTAGAAGTGATACCCAAAAAAGTAAATGAAAGTAAAAAGAATATATATATATGTATATATATATATAATGGGTTATTTCACTACATATGAATGTAAACTTTTGCGTGATTCCAATATGACGGAGAACACTATGAGGTAGGGGAGTGATTGTCATCTGATGAAGAACAGAAACAAGTCAAACGTTTCTCTACAACTTAGATCCAATTGGATGGGCGTAACGGAAGAGCGAGAAGAAGCACAAAAGTAGTTGTGCTCTTGGCTTCATCAACTATGTGGTGATATGAGGCTTGCTTTCGCTTTCTATGGTTCATTTCGTGAAGTGTGAGGATGATTGCTGTTAACTACCGTAACTGGATGTGACGTTGTCGCGATTTTGGGGTTCACGCATTTTCCCACCCAGCTACTCTGAGACATCATGAGAAAAAAAAACTTCATCTTTGGCAAGCATTTAGTGTACGCGTGGTCTTAGTTAAAAATATCTTACTGGGACGAAGCTCTTTGTTTTTTACTCTTTAGATAGACAATTTGATAACTCTGCGGAAATAGTGCGTTTACTGGTGTATCACTAAATGAGAACAAACGATGAGTGTGTTTATACGTGTTCCCGGAAGCATATGGTTTGAGTTAAAGATAGACTCAGCGGCTCTTCCTTCTCTTGTAAAATGTGAATAACGAAAATAACCGGCAATGTACAAAATACTAAAAACATTGACATAAGATAAACAAGTTCACTCTCGCGACCACCATGGTTTTATACCCGAGGAATACATTTTCAAAACTTTCTGTTGATTTATTCCCTCTTGTTGTCCGTGCCCATATCAACCACGGTGATACAATTTGGAATCCCCATTGCCACTGTTCTAGGAATTGGAAGCACTTTTCGAACTGGGAAAAAGAAAATAAGGTTGCAATTGTTCTCATTAGAACAGAAACCACTCGAGGCCGTGCAAAGACGTGTCTACTACAGTGCGTGCTTATACTATCCACGTCCGTATATTGCGTGCTGACACAGTACGAACCGGATGGAACAAATGCGAATCGCGTTTCTGCTGACAACAAATTGGTTGAGGACAAAGTAACACAACACAAAGTGCGTAATTAAATCTCAAAACAATGATCTATATAGGGCATAATCAAGGTGACTGACTCCAAACGCATAGGGGTTATGCATCGGAAATAANACAATTGCTGACACTGGAACTGTGCAGGTACAGCGTACAGCGATGATGTGCACAACACGTAGTTAACGAGGAAAATGGGATGGATACGAACGGGGGCATGCGTGGATCGCACTCACGCTGGCTGCGTCGTACTCCAGCAGAATCGCGGACAGATCGGGCGAGACCGTGAACATGCCTGTGTATTCCGGCTTCTGTTCAAACAAGCAAAGTAGACAGAACGTCTAAAACACGCTATGCAGCGAGGATGAACAAAAAGGGGTTAAGTAGGGCGCGTAGCACCATGCTATACAAAGTGTTCTCGATGACAATACACTAGGACACACAAAAAAGCATTAAATATCCAATGTGAATGGATCACTAATAATCCTCCTCAGGCATGCTTCGCTGGCAGAGTATTTTGGTGAACAGTTCAATTAGTCTAGTGCTAATGTGGTAATTCCAGCAATTGCAGCGGAAACTCTTTGGGTGGTAACATGCGAGCCCCCATCAGAATCGGAAGTAC